TGCAGATACTACAGAACATGCAGATACTATAGTACATGCAGATACTATAGAACATGCAGATACTACAGTACATGTAGATACTATAGAACATGCAGATACTACAGTACATGTAGATACGATAGAACATGCAGATACTATAGTACATGCAGATACTACAGTACATGCAGATACTATAGAACATGCAGATACTATAGAACATGTAGATACTATAGAACATGTAGATACTATAGAACATGCAGATACTATAGTACATGCAGATACTATAGAACATGCAGATACTACAGTACATGTAGATACTATAGAACATGCAGATACTATAGTACATGCAGATACTACAGAACATGCAGATACTATAGTACATGCAGATACTATAGAACATGTAGATATATAGTACATGCAGATACTATAGAACATGCAGACACTATAGTACATGCAGATACTATAGAACATGTAGATATATAGTACATGCAGATACTATAGAACATGTAGATACTATAGAACATGCAGATACTATAGAAAGCTGGGCTGTGGAATTCAAAGCAAGTAGGACAGATAACTGAAATCAGTGGTCCCAGTGTGAGCACTTGCTTAAGTCACATATGATCCTACTGTTTACACACCGGCGACTCCAGCATGCACTGCTATCCTTAGAGAGCTCAGCATGACCAGAGAACTAGCATCTCACCGGTGCTTCCCAACCCCGAGTACAACAAAGGCTATTTCATTTGTTATATAAAAACTCTATTATATGCATAGGGAAAAGGTAATATTGTTGTTGACCTACAGGTAGAACTGAGCTTATAAATCACTACCTGTATATTTTAAGCATTCCTAAAAGGAAATTTTCTTTTCTTTAGATTTTTTGTAATTATATTATTTCTTTGGGGCCATGGCACACATACAGAAGTCAGAGGACAAACTCAGACTTCACAGCAAGTGCCTTTGTCCATTGAGCTGTTTTGCCAGCCCACATATCTGTGTGTGCATGTATGTGTGTGTGTGTATGTGTGTATTTAAAACTGCATGATAGCTCACACTTACAATCCCAACACTCGGTAGGCTAAGGCAAGAAGACTGCTATTTGAGGCAACCTAGACAACAGAATACCAGGCTATCTTGGGATACAGAACAAGACTTGATCTCTAAAAAGTAAAGAAAGACATTTAAATTTAATTCTCCCAACTCATAGTTGACTTGACGGAAGTTTCAATAGAGAAAGGGTCAGAATGTGTCACAAATTTCATCACGCATAATACAATCTAAATGAAATGATCTTAGCATAACAGTGATTATCAGAACTTCTGATGTGAACTCTCAGCCTAAAAAACCCAATTTACTGAACAGAGTGATTTCTCAAAAATAAAGCCAGGTAACTTTTAGCTAAAGCTTACAGATGGCTTTGATATGGACTGTTGGCCTCCTTGTCGATCAGAGTTGCTGTCTGGTGACTATACCTACTTTGCGCACAGAGCCTGCAGACATGCTCCACAAAGGGTTCATAACGTGGACTCCAGACAAAGAACTGTGTCATCAAACTCTTCTGTTCTCAGCATTCACACTGCCTTCAGAGAAATGGGAGAAATGCAAATATACCAACACCAACAGTTAGGACAGAGCTGACACCCTGGGCACATCATGCCAAGCAGTCCCCAAGTTAAGAGGGCTAAGAATGTCATCAGAGAGCTCTGAGAATAATCCCTTCTCCACACCCTTCCACTGCAGACCCTAAATGCTTCTCACAACAGGGTTCTAAGCCCTGTACTTGAGAGGCTGAGGCAGGAGGATGCAGAGTTTTAGGCCAGTTTGGATTACATAGTGATACCTACTGATATAAAAATAAACAAAATCATCATCTGAGTACCAGGTTCCTGACCAGCATTTAGAATAGGAAGGTCGGCCAGGCGGTGGTGGCGCACGCCTTTAATCCTGGCACTTGGGAGGCAGAGGCAGGCAGATTTCTAAGTTCGAGGCCAGCCTGGTCTACAGAGTGAATTCCAGGACAGTCAGGACTATACAGAGAAACCCTGTCTTGAAAAACCAAAAGAATAGGAAGGTCAAGCTTTGCTTTACAACACAGCCATCGCTCCAATAGCACAACATGGCTACTATAGGCACCTGACTAATGGGAAGTCAGTATGTACTCTGACACCTACACTCCAGCTCTATCACTGTTCCCACTGTCACGGTGAGCGACTAGAAATGTCCTGAATGACTTGTCTCAAGCACAAGACTAATAGCCAATGAGGTAAGAAGGAACATGAGCACAGTGATAGTGTTCCACTCCTTTAATCCCAACAAATGGATCTCTGAGTTCAAGGCTGGCCCAATCTACAGATAGACTGAGTTTCAGAACAACCAAGGCTACACAGAGAAACCCTGTCTCTGGAATAAAGGATAAAAAAATGAGTATACCTGTATGAGGAAAGGAGGGTAGAGTTCTGTCCCTACTACCCCAAGAAACTGCCCTTTAAAGAGAAGAAAAACAAAAAACAAACAAACAAAAAAAAATGCCCACTATGTGCTCCAAGTTAGTCAGGAATTCAGGATATAACACAGACTGGCCTCAAACTCCCAATCTTCCTGCCTCTGCCTTAAACTACAGGGAATATAGGTAACAGGCATTCCTAGCAAAAGGAGGTTTGTTTAGGTACTAAAAATACAGTATAAAATTCTGCAGTATTAGGCACCTCAGGAATTTCAAATGTGTACATTCACGGAGGGTTCAAAGGGGAGAAGCTTCAGGTAGTGGATAAGAAACCAGGTTTCAAAAATCACAAGGTCAGTGGGTGACTTAGTAAATATACAAAGAAACAAAAGTAGCTAGCCCAGCTATAAGACTCTCTCCCCAGTCTGCTGAGTTTAAAAGGATGGTGTCTTATTTGTATCCCTGAAAAGCTGAAGGTGAAAAGGGTCAAGCCTCACATTTCTAAGAAGCAATGCTATATTAGTAACTCCAATCAGCAGTGACTTATGTTCTCTAGTGTACACACAGCATTCAAGGGTGGATACCAGCCAGTGCCTATAACTGCTGCTGTGCTTTCCAGGAGACAGTGTCACCCAGTAATTAAACCAGAGGACAGGGATCCCACTTCTCCCACTAACTTGCTGACTTGCAGCCAGGTAAGACTTTTGCAAACCTGCTTTAAAAGGTGGCTGACACAATAGTACATCAAAAAATCAGGGAAAGATATGTTCCTGTTTGGCTCAAATGAAAGCCATATATTTTTCTTCAGGACTAGTAACCCACTGCCTAGATACCATGTTTTATCGAGGCTGTTCTTCACCTCTTGAGAGGTGTGGCCATATCCTATTTGTAAATGTACTAGCATTGGGTACCTTTCGTGCTTTTTGCCTTTAAAAATTCAGTCTGTGACCCTCAGTTCCTCTAAAAGGCACTATGTGCCATCCATCACAGCGATAATTTTAACTAAATGTTTCCAATAGCAACATAAGCACAAGGAACTGTAGCCAACTTTTCAGAAACTATAGTTTGCTAGATGAACAATCTACCATAAGCATGGCATGACATCGTCCAATAGTAATGACAGATGTAAGAAAAACAGGCTCCATCCTTATTCGCAGAAAATACCACCAGACTTCCTGCTCCTCTGACTCTTTTTTGTTGTTGTTGTTGTTTTTCGAGACAGGGTTTCTCTGTGTAGCTAGCCCTGGCTGTCCTGGAACTCACTTTGTAGACCAGGCTGGCCTCGAACTCGGAAATCCGCCTGCCTCTGCCTCCCAAGTGCTGGGATTAAAGGCGTGCGCCACCACTGCCGGGCTTCTCTGACTCTTAAGAATAAAAAATGATTGCGTGCATTTATACTGCACAGCTGAGCGAAGTCTGCATCTTCACCTATGCGGCGGTGAGTATACCGCAGAGGGCCAATGAGACCAGGCTACCGTCGTTCCTCTGTGACACAGAGCTAACATAGGCACTAATGTATCATCCCAAAAAGGGTTTCTGAAATCCCACATTAAGAGGCCACCAGACAGGACCGAGGAAAAGTAAACAGCCCAGGCCTCGGACAGCCCGGCTGGGCAGCTAGCTGGGCCGGGCACCCTTGCCCAGGGCACAATTCCATCTCGGAGCACGTAGAGAATCTGGACAAACCTGTCCCGAGGTGATGCAAGGCTGGTGCCCGGCCCTAGCCTCGAAGCTAGTTGAGGGCCGGCTGGGCCCGCGAATCTGCAGCCGAGGCCGAGAGCCTGGGACTTCATGTCAGCCCCTCGCCAGAGTGACGGGACCCAGAGCGGGAGGGGCGGCCCGACCTGAGCGCCACCGAACCAGCCTCCGTCTTCCTCCGAGGCGGCGCAGCAGGTGCCTGCAACGCACAGGTGCGGCCCCGCCCCCGTGTCCCCGCGCGGCCGCCGTCGCCCCAGTCCCCAGCGCACCACAGGGAACCGAATGCCGGGCCAGGGACACAAGCCCTCGGCCCTGACGACTCGGTAGCCACCAGCCCAGAGGTAGGACGCTTACCTGGACGCCCTCGGTGCGGAGCGCTGGGGGCCGAGCGCCACCGCGGGCCAACAGCATCTCCGGCTGTAGTGCAGCCCGGCCCCTGCCGCTCCTCTCCCGCAGAGCCCCGCCCCGCCCTGCCCTCGGCGAGACACGCCCTAGACACGCCCCAGTCTGGGCGCTTCCGCTCGGACACCCATGCCGAGTGGCTCTCTCGCCGTCCATCAAGGACGTACTTCCGGGAGGTGCTGGGGGTCGGCGCTCGGTCCTGCCAATCAAGTTACCGCCGCTCGGGTGGGGCCGTGCTCGTCCCTCCCCTTACGTAATACTGCCCAAGACGAGCTGTCATTCAAAGAAGCTTCAATCCCTGGGGAGGCTGGGACGGAAACAAACAGGCACCCGGCCGCCATTGGACGTGGCGCGTGTCAGTCACCATGGATACCCGCCCAGAGGTTTATGCGGCAGCCACTATAGCCAGTCTCAAGCAGTGATTGCTGGTAGCTCTTGGCTCAGCAAAGCGGCTGCTGGTATCCAGGTCCGGACTCTGAGCCACTGGCTGGTGTGGGAAGTCTGCAGCTCCCTGGTAGGAGAGATGGGGTTTATTAATAAACTTGCTTAGGAGACAATAAGTGACAGAGTAGAATTTAGCTAAGGAAGTGCTGCCTTTAAAATAAACCCAAGGTTATCAGGCTTTTTAGAAATAAATCTGTAAATGTTTGTTCCCGGGGATTGACCTGCGTTAGGTTCCATTCCCATAACCAAAAAAAGACAACCCCATTAAACTCAATGGCCGTATCAAAGAACGTGTCTCTAACAGGAAGACAAACATCCTTAAATCCTGGCCTGACATAAAGCCCCGATTCTCCTCTGGAGGAAAGCGTAATTCTGCCCGGTGGGTAAGAAGACCCTCGGTAACAACTATTATCAAACAACACTGTTGTACTTAAGAAACAATTCTGGCAATATTTTGCTGTGTAAATCTCTCATCTGTCCAAATGGCCAGACTTGCAGCCTACAGTCTCTGTTTATACTGGGGCCTGCATCTCTTAGCCCCTACTTGATACAGGGTATGTCTGGCATCCGCCCCCTACCCTAAATTTTTCCATCCCCGGAGCTGTGCTGCCCTTCTTCCCAGATGCCCTTCCCTATGTAACTTAGCCATTTTGGTTGCCCGATCCTTTCAGTTTGCCCCTTACTTTCTTGGCCAACCTCTTAGCCCAAGCTGCCTCTCTTGGTTGCTGGCTACCCTCTAGCTCTCTGGTTCCATATCTCCTCAGATGGCGAGCTCAGTAGTGCCGTGTTTACTCTCCCTGATGTCTCTGCCTCTTGACTATGCTCTCGCTTTTATATGCAATAAACTTTGTCCTTCACCATACCTAAGAGCAATCACTTCCTTTCCTTTTTTTATATCTTCTTGTCATTCAGAAGGCAAGTTCCTCTTTGGCCATTAGCCAGAGCCAGAAGCACACTATTATTAAATAGCTTTTCTGTGTTTTTCTAGAGTGTAGAGAGTGAAATCTCCAGGGAGAGCATACTTCTCTGCTTCAGGAGATACAAACCAGGGCACCACAGTGTCACAAAGGTCTCCAGCACAGAAGTTGGTGGCACTCTCTCATGGCACTATGTAGCCCGCTCCCACATAGTTCTTGCGTGTTGCTCTCACTTTGACCTGAAACACTTTTCCTACTCAAATGCCTCCCACTGGGCACATTTCATGCTCCATAAAACACAATGGCCCCTGCCTTTCAAGATGCCCTTTTCTGGCCGCCTCCTTCCTGGTCTAGTTCAATTCTGTGAAGGCTGCCATTGGCCTTAATGCCTCCAAACTTGTAGTGGGACAGCCCTCTCATTCACCACTCAGTACTGAACAATCCTAGTCACCTTCCTCTTCACTCCCCTCCCCTTTTCTAGACCCAACATTTAGGTCTCCTTCTATCGCCTCATTCGGCGCCTTCCACTCAGAGAACACCTCCCTGAGAAGTTTACCTCTTCCATCTCAGTCTCCTCTAAGATGCTGGTAAATGACTTACTAAATGACAGGCTCAAACTCCCGATGGGGATCCCAAAGATAGGTTCTAAACTCCAGCTTCCTCCCCAAACTGAAAACAGCCCGGAGCCGCCTCCTCTAAGTCAGTTTGGATACATTCAGGAATGTTCCAGTCCCGTTAGTACTAGTCTTAAAGTAAAAGGCAAGAGAGCTGAAAATCCCTTTCTCTGGCCACAGAAAATCTCCTTTGGAATGTCTTTAGCCCAGTTTCTCCCTGGGTCACCTTTCTCTGCTAAGAGTGCCTCCGATTTCTGGCTTCCCCAATTCAATGTTCGTTGAGAGTTGACTCATAAAGATTCCTCAGGGCAGATCCCTCCACTGAGTTTGTTTCATGCACGCACTCAACTACCCGTCTCACATTGGATACCCCAGATACACAATCCCAACACTGGGGTGCTTATTCCCTTATATGCCAAACAACCACCGACTCCAGCTACTTTACATAGTGAGGAGGGGGTCCCATATTCTGAGGTGGGCACTAAGGAGTAGTACTGCATGTCTCATGGAGTGGCTGGTAAGGAAATGGTTGCAGCTGGGAGGGTCCCAAGGTCTACCCTGAGTCTAGCTGCCACAATTATGGGCAAAGCCATTTATTTACCTTGTTCCCCTGGACAATAGGGAGAGGATACACTATGCCACCGGGGTTCAGAACATATCACTTCATGTGGAGAGCAGATCCAGGGGCACCAGAGGCCAGGAGGAGACAATTCTATGAGTTTAATGACAGAGATGGAGAACTGAATGTGTTCCGGAGAATTTAAGGGCTAAAGTGGAGACAAGTGAGCCATGGATTAGATACGGGGTACGAGCTACAACCTGCAAGCATCGTCGTGGGATGATGATCCAGGCGTTTGGGTGAGTTACTGCCTGGCTGGTCAGACCATTGTGCCACGAAGCATTTGTGAACCCCAAAGACCACTAAGGAGCCATTTCTGATCTGATTACATTAGGGTCTCTTTGTTACAAATTCAGTTTGGGCTTACTCACCGCTGGCCCACAGGACGGTTTGGTGAAGCAGCCCTGAACTCTCACTAAACAAGGTTTTACAGGAAATGGAAGTAAGTGAGAGGGGTCCAGCCTGGCAAGCATCTAACTGAATGTCTATTGTAAGCTGGCAGGTGGGTGCAATCATGGACCGTCTGAAAGTACTTCCGAAACAATCAAACTAATCTTTGATTAAGTAGCTAGGGAGTAACTCTAGCCAAGGACAAGCTGTAGGATCCTTCCTGGTACTTGGATGCAGCTTGGGTTCAGCTGCAGGCCAAGTTCTCAGGCTCCCCCTCCTCCTCTCCTTCCTCTTCCTCCTCCTCTTCCTCCTCCTTCTTCCTCCTCTTCTTTCTCTTCTTCCTCTTCTTCCTCCTCTCCTTCCTCTTCTCCTTCCTCTTCTTCTCCTTCTTCCTCTCCTTCCTCCTCTTCTCCTTTCTCTTCCTCTCCTTCCTCTCCCTCTTCTTCTTCTCCTTCCTCTCCTCCTCCTCCTTCTCCTCTTTCTCCTCCTCCTCCTTCTCCTCCTCCTCCTTCTTCCTTCCTTCTTCTAAGATGGAGACTGGTTCTAAGATGGAGTCTCTTTGGCCTCCCATTCCTCCCTTTCTCTGGTAACTAGAAGACCTAATCATGGGACTTCCTGAAGCTCCTAGGCTTCATTCTGGAGAGACTGGTAGTGACTTTTCATCACCATAAGTTGGATAGTCCCAAGTCTTTCTTTCATGAACTGGACTGATTTGTTTAGAACACAGGGGTCAAAGGTGAGGAGCAGAAGTAAGGTGAGCAGAGGGCCCAGCAGGGTAGACATCAGGGGTCAGCCACAGAGAGCTGTGGAACCGTGATTCAAACCAACCTTGTGCCTGCTCTCTTTCTCTTTTCCTCTTGGCCAGGCCCTCTCTAACTTTGGCCATTGACTCTTTGACCACTCCAGAGTGGTCAACATAGAAACAGCATTCTGTTTCAGAGCTGCACATAGCCCTCCCTGTTGCATAGACATCAGGGGTCAGCCACAGGGAGCTGTGGAACCGTGATTCAAACCAACCTTGTGCCTGCTCTCTTTCTCTTTTCCTCTTGGCCAGGCCCTCTCTAACTTTGGCCATTGACTCTTTGACCACTTCAGAGTGGTCAACATAGAAACAGCATTCTGTTTGAGAGCTGCACATAGCCCTCCCTGTTGCATAAACAGGAGATCTAGCCCCTCCTATTTTAGAGTACTGCCTCTGCCAGGGAGCCCAGGGAATCTTGGAGATGAGTGATTCCTTTTTCTAATCTAAGTCAGTATCTATTGCCTCTCTTAAACCGTCACAATGTTTGTTTTGTAACATCAAGGAAGCTACCCCGGTTCCTGTGCCAGCCACTCCCAGTCCTATGGGAACTTCCAGAGTTACAACTGAAATTGGTTTTCACTTGGCTCTTGTGGGGACTAAAGCTGAGGTTCTAGGATTGTTACCCGGGAATCTAGGACTTGGTTGTCTGTGTGACAGATGATCCTGGGTAACAACTAGACAAGTATACAGGATTCTTTGCCCTGATGGGGTAAGCCCTACAGTGCTTATCCACCAGGTTTTGGTGGGTGGTAATAGTTATTGATCATTATCTGGATTTACCTTGTAGGTCTGGTTCCAAAGGTGGCTATAGACCCCAGGGACTGTCCCTATATACGTGCCCTGACCTATGGACTGTAAGCTCAGCCTAGCCTCACCAGTTACCTTCTGCACTCACTGGGGTTCTCAGTTTCAGTGAAGTATCCAATCAGGGCTATGCCTTCAAAGTTAGGGTAGTCTTTTCTGGTAGCTTAGCCAGCATGACTCGGCTAACTCAGGTCTGGGGGCA